CAAGGTACGTCCAGGTCCCTGGCCGTCGGGGCGGCTGGGGGCGAGCGTCTCTGGCATTTGCTGCCTTTCGAGTCGGCCAGCTGCTGTCGCTCGGCCCGCTGCTCACCCCTTCACTCTGTCTGCCCTGTCCAGGCTGTAGCGATTGGGGTGTGTGTGTGTGTGTGTCCGTGTCCCCTTCCCCGCTTCCCCGGGGCTGCCTGGACAGACCGATCTTTGCTTCCTCTAGGGAGGGGCTGCCCCTCACTGTGAACCCCCAAAGGCCATGCTGGGGGTACAGCTGGGTTAGAAGTGTGGATCTCAATGCCCCACCTTCTTGGGCTCATGCTTAGCAGGTGAACGCCATGGAGCAGGAATCCGTGTGATAGGATCAGCTGGGACTGTCCCTCACCCCACGGACTGCGGGGGGCTGGGGCACCTCTGAGCGACGCAGGGGGAGTGTGCTTCCAAGGGAGGCCGGGCTAGAATTGAGGTTGCTCTGGACCCTCGGGCAGGTGGTTTTGAGTCGAGATGGCAAATAAGGAATTTTTCAGTTGCTGGCAGCACTGAAAAATGGGGGGGGGAGTGGGGGGGACGGAAAACACAGTGAGACATCTCATGGGGGTGTTTGTAATCAAAGCCAAGGGAAGGAAGCGGTAGATTCACACCCGCTGCTCTGCTGCCACCACCTTCCTTAGGACCAGGCTGGGGAGGGTTTGATTTTTGTTTTTTTAAACCAGGAAACGTGGATAAATGTCCGTTTCGCTGGGCGCACACAAGCCGGCGGAAATCTATTTCTATGGCTAAGAATCAAAACGTCCAGAGAGGCAGAGTGAGAAAAATGCGGCTTGGGGCCGCCTTAGAGTTTGCTTTTCCGGCTATTCCCCTGGTCTATTGCCGTGTGCTGCTGCAAGTTTGTGTTTGAAGGGTTACAAAGCTGGAATCTCAAGGTCTGTTGTCATTACATAAGGACTGTCTGACACCCCCCCACCCCCGCCCCTCCCTGCCTCCATTATTCCTGGCAATCAAAATAGCGATGGGGTGCGATTCTCTAGCCCAGGGCTTGTGGCCTCCCTCTCAGACGTGGGTGTTCTCTGAGTTCCAGCCCCAGCTCCACCTTGGGGATTCAAACCTGGGTCTCCTGTGCCCTGAGTGAGTGCCCCAGCTGCTGGGCTAAGGATTAAAATGGGGGCGGTGTAGGGTGACCAGGTGTCCCGATTTTATAGGGACAGTGCCGATTTTTGGGTCTTTTTCTTATATAGGCTCCTATTACCCCCGACCCCCTGTCCTGATTTTTCACATTTGCTGTCTGGTCACCCTAGGGTGGTGGCACCGCCCCAGCTCCTGTCTGGCGAATCTAGGCTGACGAACGGAAACGTTTCGTTTTGATGACGTCGAAACGAACCCTTTGGACCTGTCTGGAAACATCCGTTTTCGTTTTGGCTGAAACCGTTCCACCTTGCCCCGAATTCGTGAAATGTTGCAGTCGCCCTGAATCTGCCTTTTTCGGCAGAAGTCTTGGCCCAAAATTTTTGCCCCAGCTCTAGTTATGACACGGGCTATAGCTACAGGACCACGTGGTTACTTTTTTCCCCACTGGACCATTCAGTGCACAGGGTGGACGGTTGCAAGGGGAACCTTAATGCTGCTTTTGCCAAACGGTCCGAGTGCTTGACTTTGCGACCTGAATGACATTCCCATAATGTAGGATTTTTTGTTTTTTTTGGTATGTAATTTCCTTGTTTTTTAAGAAGGAAAAACCAAAGTGTGGGCCTCTATAATGCACGTTCTCCAGCACTGGCTGCAGGATTTGAATCCAGGACCACAGAACTCTGCCGCTTGAGGTAAGGATTAATTACGCTAGTTGGCCACAGGGGTAGACGGAAGGTGGCAGGGGAGGGTTATTCCGTGTGGCTAGAGGGATGGGGGCAGGGCTAGTTTTTTGTCCCTCCCCACAAGCCCCCAGGCAGGCTGTGCAGATGCAGGGCTTTGGGCACCCTCCTTGCTGCCTCTGGGTGCCAGGGGAGAGCTAGCCACCTCCATCCCCATGAAACACGTCTGTGGCTCTGCCCGGAGCATGCCTCTCTAGCCTTGCAGACCTGGAACCCAGGGGTCTAGAACCCAGCCCGGAGTAGGGCCTGGTCCCGTCCCCAGCCTGCACGGCACTCAGGGACTAGGACTCCAGCCCCTGCCGATGGGGGACCAGTCCGTCTTCCCCCAGTCTCTGGGATGTGTCCCAAACAGGGTAACGCTTTGAACCGGCAGCTGGCTGGCTGGGTGTAATTGCTGCCTATCTGCTGCTGCTAAAAGCAGGAGGGCTGGGGCTGCCCTAGGGCAACTGGCCTGGCTGTGAGACCTCCTGGTGGGCAGGGGCCAGGGGGCAGTGCCGAGCCGTGGGGAGAACACCTGTCAAGAGGAGGACACAGGCCGGATGGGAAGTTGGTTGTGAACCGGAGCTGGGGTGGGAAGTGCCCCCCCCCCACCAGTGCAGACCAGATTTCCACCCCCAGATCCTGGCATGCTCATCCCCTGCCCCGCTAGGGCGACCAGATGTCCCGTTTTTATAGGGACAGTCACGTTTTTGGGGATTTTTTCTTATATAGGCGCCTATTACCCCCCACCCGCTGTCCCGTTATTTCACAGTTGCTATCTGGTCACCCTGCGCCCCCGCTGCTGCCAGCGCACACGGGCATTTCCCCAGGGCAGCAGCTGATGCCACCAGCCCTAAACTGCCCCCACTGCAAGCCCCAGTGTAGGGGGCATGCCGGGGCGGTGGGGGCAGGAGGGAGCACTCCACACCGAGATTTCAGGCTGGGGCATGCTGGGGAGCAGTCTGATTGACACCGGGATCTGCTTCACCCCTGAATTCAGCCAGGGCACAGGTGGCCTTCACGCTCCTGCCCCCTTCCTGCCACGGCCCCGCACCTGCCGCTGTCCCGAGACAGGAGCATGTCTGTCTGTCTGTCTGTCTCTCTGCTGGCTGGAACGGGAGCCCTGGGGGCAGCTTGGGTAACCCCTTAACAGCTGCTCTTGCCCCTCCTCTGCCCAGCAGATCTAGCGCAAGGCAAAAGCTGCGGCCCCGCGGGCGAAGCGAGGGGCTGGCCGGCAGTGCTGGAAAGAAGAGCCCGGGAGGTCCTCCCCCAGCCCGAGCACCTATCCGAGCCGTTCCCTCCCCGCTGGATCGTTCAGGGTCCGTCTCCTGCTTTGTCCTGGAAGGAGAGAGGCCAAGAAAGCTCTGGACTCGTCACTCAACAAAGGACTCTTTGTTACAGCCTCCTCCAAGGAAACCTGACCTCCCTCCCCGTCCCTGGGGTGGAAAGCGATCCGGACGGGGCCACTGGCTCGGCTGGGCCCTCTCTCCTTCCGTCGGCGCCGGGGCTCTGCTCTATGTGGGCCAGTCTGCCTCCGTGATGCCGCCCTTCTTCCTGGCTCTCCTGCTTTGGGGGCAGGCGGCAGGAGCCGCCAAGGCCTGTCCTCACCTGTGCGTCTGCTACGAATCCTCAGATTTCGTGGACTGCCGTGGCCGGCGCCTGGCCCACGTCCCCCGCAGCGTCCCGCACAGCACGTGGCTCTTGGATCTGAGGCACAACAACCTGACCAGCCTGGAGGCGGGCTCCTTCGACGCCCTGTGGTCTATGAAGATCTTGCTCCTGGCCCACAACTCCATCGGCCAGCTCTGGCCCAAGGCCTTCGCGTGCCTGGGCTTCCTGGAGAAGATAGACCTCAGCCACAACCTCCTGGCCCAGTTGCCTCCTGACTTCTCCGATGAACTGGCCTCCCTGAAGGAGCTCAAGGCGGCCTACAACCGGCTGTCGGCCGTGGGCTATGAGAGCCTGCAGCACCTGGAGAGCCTGGAGAAGCTGGACCTGAGCTACAACCAAGTGGCTTCCATTGAGAAGGGGGCCTTTCGGGGCCTGTCTAGGCTTCGCTACCTCTACCTCCAGTCCAACCGTCTGGGGATTGTCCACAACGGCTTCTTCTCCATGCTCCAGAACCTGGAAGTCCTCTTCCTTGGCACCAACAACATCAGCGCCATCGAGCTGGAGGCCTTCACCTCCCTGCACAACGTGAACCTCCTGGCTTTGACCGGCAACCAGCTCCTCCACCTCAAATTCAAGACCTTCCTGAACATCCAGACGCCTAGCACCCACCTCCAGCTCGCCGGCAACCCCTGGGCCTGCGACTGTGACCTCCAGCGGGTCTTCAGCAAGATCCTGAGCGTCCGCCACCTCCACGTGGAAGACTACGCCAATATCACCTGTGCCAGTCCCTGGCAGCTGGCCGGCTTGCCTCTGGTTTCTGTGGATGCCCAGCTGTGTGTGGCCGAGACGGCCACCGTCCTGGTGATCACGGTCACCGTCCTGGTGACGGTCGTTGCCGCCATCGTCATGGCGGAGAGGAACAGGAAGAGGAGCCAGGAGAAGAACTGGAACGAGTCGGACGGCCCCTTCGACCCGCAGGAGAAGTGAGACGAGGGGTGGGAAAGCTGGCGTCTGGTGCGTGAGAAGCAGCCGCTTCCTTTCCCTCTGCCTTTGAGCTCTCCTGGATCCGCGCTGACTGGCCCTATTCCTAGCTCCTCGGGACCCAAGCCCGGATGCCTGGGGTGGGGACCAGAGTGGCCGTGCCCAGAGACGTGCTGCTGCACTGACCCCAGGGGGCTCCCGCTCGGTCCCATCTTGGGCCAGGTCCCCCTTCCTTTCACCTGCTCATCGCCACCAGGTTCTGTGAGCCAACGGCTGCCCTGCCACGCCCCTGCACCCACCTCCCCGGCCTTCAAACCCTCCCTCGGGCACGCCCCCGCCCCACACACGCTGGCCTTTAACAGCTGCCCTCAGGGACGCCTCTCCTGCCCCCTGCTGGCCTGTGGGGTGATTGCACAGATGTAGCCAACTGGAACGTGGTGAAGATGGGGGAGGGAGGGAATCTCAACCACCACCCCCCCTCCGCTGATGGGAGGGAAAAGGGAACAGTGCTCTGGTTTTGCCCCTCAACTCAGCAGTTCTGGCTCCGTGAGCCCTCGCAGCCCTCCCCTACGAGGCAGGGATTACCCCTCCCTTACAGCTGGGGAAACTGAGGCACGGCGCTTCAGTCAAGGTCAGTGCAGCGAGCTGGGAATGGAAGGTGGGGGTCCTGACGCTCGATCCGCCGTTCTCAGCCCCTCCTCTGCTCTGTGCTGGCCTGTTGGAGTTTGGGGGCAGTGTTGCCTTGTGGGAAGAGCTGGTTTAGGGGCGGCTGCGGCTACCCTTGGCTGCTCCCTCCAGAGGCCAGTGCAGTGGGTGGGGAGCTGCTAGGCGGAGCTGGTTGTCTGCTCCGTGAGTGAAACCTCTTGGGCTGGTGGGGGGCCCTTGACTCAGTGGCCGCGAGGAACCATAAGATTCCACCCGCCTGCTCCACATGGATCCAGAGGCCAGGGCGGCCTGGGGGAAGCTGCTCTGCCTAGCCCTCAGCCCTCCTCCCACCTGGCCCAGCGGTGCTACGAGCCACGCTCCCAAACACGAGGCCCTCGCTGTGCATTCACCCCCTCG